TAGTAATGAAAAATTGGTTTGTTTTAAGGAAATCGTATTTAATTCAGGATTGTATTGTCGATCAAATTTCCTTTTATAGTAATAAGGAAACATGTATAGTCTTCTTGAATTTAGTTATAGCTACTTTTAGAAGAAATTAAAATAATTATGTCTTCTTATTAATTAGTTTTTTTTAAATTGGTAATCTAATATTAAATTAGTTTAACTATATAGCACAAAATGTTTATTGTTTCTTTAGAAATAATAGTTGTTATATTTGATCTAGTATATTTTTTTTCTTCAGAAATGTATTATAGAATTATAGAGATTGGTAATAAGTAGACTTGTAACGCTTTTTCATTTGTGTCTCTGTTTGAATCCTTATTTTGTTGTATTGTATATGTCTGTATATAGTTTTTGAATTGTCCTTAATGCTTTACTATGCTTTGTTTTCAAATAAATTAATTTAACTTTAAAAAGTCATAATTTTTAATTTAATTCACCAAATTTAATTTTAATACAAAATATTTTTTCGATTATAGATAAATTTAAAATCAACTTTTCTTATTTGTACAATTTATTTTTGCAATAAAAAGTATCTAAAATTCAAACCTCCACTATAAATACAAATTATAATTCTATTTAATATTCCCACTTTTTTTATCGAAATATTTTTTTTTTTAACTAAGCCTCATCTCAAAGTTATTATAGCTTAACCAATTCTGGCAGGTATTGAATAAGATAAAATACAACGTGGTTACTTTTTAATATTACACAATTTATTTAACGGTCCTTTTGTCTCTTAAGATCAGTGGATACATAACTACGCCTAACATGATGTATACCAAAATAATAAAGCGACAAGAATAAATTCAGTAAGCAAACCAATATGATGACTGATTTCACACAATGGAAATCTGAAAACGATCAAAACATTAAGTCAGTTAAAGGCTTTTGTATTCGTAGTAGTAAATATAAATTATATAATAAATAGGAAATATGTCATACCTAATGATAATACCCACCCACATAACATTGGGGCTATCCTCATCATTAGCCGTAAAGCAATGGTTACGAAAAATATGAAATTGAAAATTAATATAAACAGATAAATAGTCAATCGTCTTTTCGTAACCTTCCCTTCTTGGTTGGCTGCTCAAAGAATGAATATTCCAAAGATGTAGGACGTCCAAGAAAACTCAATTCAGTAGATCCACCAAATCGCCTTTTCAAGGAATCATTTCCAGTCAAAATACCAATTCCACCCTCTTGTCCTGTATCAATATTATCAATTTCATGTTGAGTAGAATGATGCAGAATATTTGGTTGAAGGGAAAAATCAAATTGATCATTATTAGTCCCAAAAATATTTCCTGATACTGGCGATGCACCGGAATAGGAATGTAATTGGGTATCAGCTGTTTGAAAAGATGAGATCTGTTGCGATGGTTGAATATATTGTGTTTGTGGTTGTTGCTGAGTCTGTGATTGTTGTCGAACACTCATTGCATCCTCTCTATTTCTACGGGATGCAGATTTTAGATGTTCTGTCTTAGATTGAGCGAAATTACATAAGTCTTCAACAGATATGAACGCGTCTCTGCCATCACCACCGGTTTGTTGCCTTCTTTGTTGAACACTAGGGTGTGATGCAACAAATTCCATCAAGTCCCGTAAACACTGTTCATATCCGTTATCATAACGTTTTTTTTGGTTAAGTGAAATTTTGAAAAGTTGAGCAACGGACTCTGCTGCAACTCGAAAAGATGCCATAAGAGCTTCTTCGGGTGACTCATCGGAACGGCCTCGAATTTCAGGCGGTTGACTAGAGTGGTCCATTCGTGTTGCGTTATTTAGGTATAGAAGGTGCGTGCTAAGTTATTATAAGATCGACGATTAGAAAGTTTTTTATTGAAAAAAATTTTTAATAATGTGACTAGAATAGGGTGAGTTAGAAAAGGTTTTTTATAATACTCGCAGTAGAAAAGTATGGAAAAATCTCAACAGTAAACAGCTGTGTAACTCTGAACGCGGATTTTATAGAATATAACTCTCCTTATAAGAGCTTGTCTTTCCTTACCCACAATTTGCAACTATAGCGAACGTTTTTTTCCAAGTTTAAACTGAAAAAGTTCAGGAAAATTGCTATTTATATAGTGTAGAACCCCAAAATTTGTATGGGTCACCTGCACAAATGAATGTACAGTTTAATAAGAGTTTTATACAATTTTGATAATACAGTAAAATTAATTTTTGATAAATGTATTTAAATATTTAATATACGTATTTATTTTATTTTATTTTTTTGAAAAGACAAAACAATTATTATATTTTTGGAATTTTTATTATAATTTTTGACTTGATAAAGCAAGATTACAATTTTGCTAAAATAATATATATATATATATACTGTATATATATATTTTTTCCATAGTCAAACAAGTGCATACTGTTTATTAAATCTTTACAGAAAACAAATAATATGTGATACATCATATTGCATAAACCATTCTACTATTTTGAATATTTATCTTTAACTAATGTCTCTAAGTATGACTTTGGAGATGAAAAAGATTGCTTTCTTTATGATTTACTTACTTATGGAGTTCAATTTTAAAGATTATTACTTGCAGTTTATCACTACAATTCATTTAAGCAAAATCTAAACTACTTTTATATTTCTAGCCATTTCTTCCTTTCTTTAATCCAATCCCAAATTGAGATTTTGTTTTGAGTCTGAAAACTGAAGTCTTCTTTCTTATTTTATAATGTTTTAAAACTTGTTTCTTTCTGTTTTTAGTTCCTTGGCTTTTTTTTTTCTCTTCTTTTTCCATTAATGTTTTTCTCCTTATATTTATATATTTTGAGCTTTCTTTCAAAATCCTATAGTTTGATATATCTATTGTTTCATATCTTTTTCTGAACTTGCTTGCAAATATTTTTTGAAAGTTTCTTTAGTAATTGCTTTGCTTCACTAGTTTTTATCTTAGCATTGGTTATTGTTTAGATCTGTTCTGCAATGTCTTTTTTCGAAAAGAGTCCTAAGTATATATTTATAATATTTATTTCTATAAAAAATTTGTTTCTGTACTATCTTTACAAAAGGTCTTATATAGTAGCTTACTTGTCTTATACAGTCAAACCTTTTTATACCAATATGATTGGTATTTTTAGCAAAAAATATCGGTATATAAAATTTTATTATAAATATCAGTATATAAAATCAATTTAATTAAAGGTGGTTTTTTTTTTTTAGAATATCGGTATAAAGAAAATATATCGGTATAAAAAAATGACTTTAATTAAGAATGGTTTTGAGAAAATATTGGTATAGTGAGATTTTAATAGATATCAGTATAAAAAATATCGGTATAAAGAGATTTGACTGTACTTTTTTTATTTAAATGCTTTTTAATTATTTGTTAAATATTCTGTTTTAATTTTGGTTTCATATTTCTTTACAAATTTCTAAAATACTATTGCAGAAAAGAAGATACTTAAAGAATTTCTCTTTTTATTAACAGATAAATACATAATTAGGTTTTTATATTTTGTAAAAAATCTTTTAATCATATTGTCCAAAATTGATAGTTTATTATGTATTAGTTTTATATAAAAGGCTTTTTTTTTGACTTGTTTAAGCAATGTTATTAATAAACCTTCTACTTTGTTTACTTTCCAAAAGCTTCTTCAATTAAAATTTTCTTGGTTATCTATTTCTTTAGTCTATCTTTTTCATATTTGGTTCTGATTTGCTCATTTTGTTAAAATGTTCTTTTTATGTATTTCTTTAATTAATAAAATTTTTTATTTCAATGTTAATGGAAATCCCATTTCAATATAATATTATTAAAGCTTCTTGCTAATACCAGTTGTTCCATATAATCTCAGTTTTTTCTTTTGTTTTTTTAACAAGAAGATCTATTTTATTGTTGGCTTTATCTTTGTCATGTGTTTTTACTTTGGTTATTTTGATTATGATTTGTTTTTTGTATATCAGATTTATACATTTTGTTCACAATTGCCAGTTCTTACACTTTGTTTCTTTTTTCTATATCTCTAATCTATAGATTTAGAAGCTTTTGTAAAGTATTGATACAATTGTACTATCTATTCTGATTTCTATTTGAAATTTTTGAGGTATAATCAGAAGTATTAAGATGATCATTACTAGTTCTGCTCAGAGTACTGATGGTTGGTTGTTTACTTTTGCTTGAAAGAATCTTTCTAGGTTTAGTTCTTTTTCTTGTAGCCAGGCAGCTCCTATTCTTAATATTTGATCTCTTGCTCTTTTATATGATCTGTCTGTATAGAAACAATAAGGCTGATGAAAGTCACTTTCTTTATTCATTTTGTATTTTTCTATTAGGACTTGTATGTATTTCAGGGATTAAATGTATTCTTTAATTATTGATACTCCTAAATTTTTTATTTCTATCTACTGCCATAAAGTGGTTATTGGTAATTCCTTGTTTGTTGAAGTGTTCCAATTCTTTTCTGGCTTGATTTTCTAGAACATATATATTAATTAGTAATTCCTTGTTTGTTGAAGTGTTCCAATTCTTTTCTGACTTGATTTTCTAGAATATATATACTAATTGGAATTTCTGATTCATTTGCTTTTCTTAATAATAGGCATTATTTGATAATATTACATGCTAGAAATCTGATCTTTGATCTTTTATTGCTTCTACAAGAAGTTATTCTATTCAATGGATTTTTTATTTTTCCATTGGAGTTTGTTTAAATATCATCTATAATTCTTTGAAGTTTGAATTAATTTAATTTGGATTCCATCTTCAATTTATAGATCTCTATATGTGAAGTTTGATAATCTAAGTTTCCTTTACTTTTATATCAAGTGATTTGTCTATTTGCTTCTTCTATACTTGCAATTTTCCAACTTCATTAGCATCAGTCTATATTTTGATTGCTTATGAAAAATCTTCTATCTTGCTCTTCCCAGTTCCAATTTTGTCATCTATTGTTTAGAACATTGTGTCTATTTGTAAGAGTTAATTGGATTTTATTATATTATAATAGTATTGGTTTTTTACTAGTTTTAGACAGAATTTGAATAATTTTCCAAAGTAACATTATTTTCATATTTTTGTTGATTAGTTGGTTTACAAACATTATATTGTGTTTTCTTAGGAATAAAATTACTTTCTGATATGTTTCCATATCATTGAGCTTGTTTTTGATAGATAGTAAGCTTTTTTTTTATTCAAAGTGATTTAACCATTAGAAGTTAAATATTGTAATTCCCAGATTATTTTCTAACCTTAATACTTGAGCTGAAAAGTTCTTCAAATATTTAAAGAATTGAGTGATATTATTAATTAGAATATTGTTTAGTTTTCAGTTTTGGTTTTGAATTTGTTTGAGATAGATTAATATAAATATGTTGGTTGGACTTATATTATTTAGTCTGTTTATAAAATTGAAGATCTGGTTTTTTACTTGGATTTTCACAATACTTTTGATATTATATATTTTTTTGTAGTAAATAGTTAAGTTTGGAATTGTTGAGACCAGTTCTACTATTTTTTTCAAAACCTTTCTTAATTGGACTATTAGGTTATTACATGTGTTTTGATCTAGGAAACAATATTGCATCTGATATTTTATATGGGAAATAAAAACTTTATTTAGAATATATTTCACATACTTGTCTATTATTCTTTTTTTCTGAAGACTTGATATAACAATTATGATTTCTTGCTTGATTCAAAGAGTTATATCTCTGGTCTGTTTTTTACTTTCTATTCATATTCCTAGGAATCTAGTAAAACTATTATGATTGTTCTTAACTACTTCTTGCTAATTCACTCTAATCTTTATGAGTTTAGTCTTTTATTGTAACTATTTATTGTTATTAATACTGATTTGTTACTATTGATCTAAGAGTCATTAGCTGTATAAAACCACTTGGCTCTTTTGAAAATATTTTCTATGTCTTTTTCTGATCTGGCAATTCATGTTATATTGTTCATATATATTATTGTGACTTGTCAGATATTCAATTACATGGTTTTATTTTTATTGTGATTGGTTTTCTATTCACAATTTATGAAATATCTCAGTTTTATATTATTCTGGATTTCATATAGCAAGAGATTATAAATGATATATTATAGAAGAAAAAAGATCATTTTTCCTTGATTTATTCTATCCTCTGCTATTATTTTCTTTGTTATTTCTATATCAGTAATTACTTGTAGAAATTTACTGATGAAAGAATCTAATATAAGTATTATAAGATTCTCTAGGATTTTAATTCTTTGAAATGTTTTTTGTAACATCTTCAAACTAATCGTATTATATGCTTTGTGATATCTTGGAATAAAATCTACAGTTCTTTTTTTTTCTCTGATCTCTTCACAGATATTATTTAGCAAGTAGATGGATTTTGAAGTGCTTTCTTCTAGTAGTCCTGCAAAGTTAGAGCTTTTTAAGATATTATACCTTTTGCATATAATAGATAGTCTATTAGTAATAATTTTGATAAAACATTTTTGTAAGACATTCAGAAGAACTATTGATCTGGTGTTACTTAGAGTGTCTTGCCATTCTTTTCTTTTCGAGATTGGATAGAGTAGACTTTCTTTCCACATTGATAGAATTATATTGTAGGTTAGATATATCTTTATTAATAGATATAGTATTTTTTTTTCTATTGTTTTAAGATTTTTGAGCATCTCATATTTGATCTTGTTGGGTCCTGCTGCTTTGTTATTTGAAAAATCTTTCAAAATTTCTTTAAACTTATTTTCCAAAATAGTGTTCATTATCTTATTATACTATTTTTCTTTTATTTTGACTTTAGGAGCATATTG